GTCAGACGACGCTTATGCAAGTGACAGTCTGGAATCGTTTCTTTCGCCCATAATTACTGTCAGTAAAAATGAAATAAATAAATAATTTAAAATTTAAATTGTGTCATAATTTACAACCTTCCTAGTCTTTTAGCTATATATTATCTAGACATATAATAAAAATAAGCCAGGTCGATATCTGTGCTTTGAAGATATTGAAGAAAAACTAATATAGGGGGTCTTTATTAGAGCAACAGAAGCCAAAACAATAATTTTACATTACACACAAGATAATGGGGGTAAAAGGTACATATATTGTTTGCAATACCGTTAGCAATGCTACCAACTCTCAAGGCAGGGGACATCTTATGGTGAACGGTCTGTACATTGTATCTATACACCCGAATCATTACTTAAGTGGTGTGTTCATACTTTGTATTGTAATACACTGTTATATTACTTGACAGAGATTGACTTATTTAATAATATAATAATTTTATTTTTTACTTAATATAATTTGATTTAGTATTTGATATATTAAAATTCAGACGTACCGTAGGTATAAAAATGTACCTAGCGGCCAGGGCATACGGTTCAAAATCACTAGGAATAATTCCGTGTCGCTTGCTCATTTATTTTGCGTAGATCGGTCTGTCTCGCTCGCTCGGTTCCGTTCGTGTATCAAGCAACATTACACGACAAAGAAAGAAACATGTTGGGTGATAGCTTCGCTAGAAGTAATAGTGTTCTGAGGGTGATAGTGTGATGTTTGTTTCCTTCGCGTAATGTGTGATGTTGCATTACATCGTAGAGTAATATTACCGGTGTAATATCACTCGCATTACTTACACATGTCTATTCTATACGTACAATTGCTTATATAAGTAGCACCCATTTCGATGGCACACACCTAAACATATATCTATCTCGTTCTTACTCAGCACTGTAACTCGCAGGAAAACAATATAACAGTATTTCAGTGCGTACATAAAATGAAACATGAATATACGTAAATTTCTAATGAGACCGAAAATCCGCCATGCTTAGCGCAACAAATGTCATTGTCCGTCAGATCAGCCGTCTGTCTTGGGTTGTACATTATTTATTAACTTTGATATCGATTTAATATGATTGCTTATATAAAATTTATTATTTTATCATGCTACCCCGCTTAAAACATACAAAAATAATAATTAAAAAATATTTTATAGGATCCCAAGAAAGTCGATGCCCCAAAAATATTATCTGTATATATTTAAATTCATTATGGAGCACTACTCCGAAAAATCTGACACCATTTTTCGGTCGGAATCTATTGTTCATGACACAAATCATAAATACCTCTTAATAAAATGTGTCATCAAAACATATTTAGACATTCTGTTTAGATATTTCGGGAAAAAGGTTACTGACAAAATCTCTCTTCGGAACTATTTAAATAAAATAGTTTTATTCCGTAGCGAGTAAACAACTATTGTAAATTCGTTAAATTTGTAATAATTAAGTGTTTTTAGAGAGGAAGTCACAAGGAGGGACGTTTAAAATTTGGATCACTCTCAAGTGAGAGTGATTCAAATGGTGCAGCGCACCTATCTTGAGGTATGTTGCGGTACTGTGTTACGAACTTTAGAGTCAGCAACACAATTAAAATAGATTGTAATTGAGAGGTAAGTAGTCTAAGAAAAACACGTACTCTTATTTTGATATCCAAAACAGCATAGCTAGCATGCTAACGTTTTATCGCCGACATAAAGCTTTTATACCTTTCCGGCATATACGCAAGTGTGAGCGAGACGGCAACATACGAAACGATGATAACATTTAGCATGCTAGAAATTGGCAGATGGCACTGTACTACGCCATATGTTTATGATTTGCCGTCACTGAGTTGTCAAACGACAAGTTTATAAAATCAGTGTAGCAACTTTTAAAAATCGTCATATTGTTTACTTGGCAAATTGAAGCACGAACTTGTCTTAGATTTCACACATCTAAATCACGTCATCTTTGCACATAACAATATATATATAATACATACTTCCTATTAAAGTGTAAATTCTACAAATAATTAATACTCAACAATATTTAAAATAATATGAGCCAAGAACGTTTATCGATAAAACCTAATATCTTCTGGGCAGCACTAAAACCACCATGTTCAGCGGCCAGATGACGTCACAGTGGCACGAATTTTTGTTGACGTTTCATTTCCATAGGTTTCATATTTCCGTGAAAAACCACTAAAGTAATAGGTCTATGCTAAAAACACTTTTGGAAGTTAGAATATTACCTCGTGGTCTACTTATTTAACGCGCTGCATGGCAGCAGTTCCACGGAGCTGTTATGTGGGGTTATGTAGGTACTGATTTCTTCATCTTCTTATTCAACCATAGCTTCTTATCTAATATCTGTGAAAGTGCACAAATGTGGAAAAATTTAAGAAAGCTGATAGACGTAATATCTTCTCGTATTCTTCAAATGAGTCCACTGAAAAAATCGACACGACTAAAAATGGTAATACTTAAAAAAGAAGATTTGTTTTATTACCTTTGTAGGCAGACGAGCCATACGGCCCACCTGATGGTAAGTGGTCACCGTCGCCCATGGACGTCCGCAATGCCAGGGGCAGCGCCAAGCCGCTCTCTACCATTAAGTACTCTCCGCAAGCCTCGTTTGAAGAAGAACATGTCATAGCGCTCGGGAAACACCGTGGAGGGGAGATCATTCAAAAGCCGGATGGTACGTGACAAAAAAGATCTTTGGACACGCACTGTCGATGAACGCAGCGGTTCCAGATATAATCGATGAACTCTGCTTCAATGACGAGAGGTGCGATGATAAAAAAGAGATGAGGGGATCATCTCGAATAGTTCCTCAGAGCATTCCCCATGGAACATACGGTATAAAACACAGACAGAACTGAAGTCCCTCCGTAGACCTAGAGGTTCCAAGTGATCCGGGAGAACGGGACTATCAACTAGCCCGTTTTTGTATGGAGTCAAATGGAAGTAGCTGGTATTTGGGAGCCCCGGCCCAGAGGTGAGGGCAGTACTCCATGTGCTTTATAAAGCGCAAGTCTCTGCCTAGACATGAAATACCGCTTCGCTCTGTTGAGGAATCCCAACATTTTAGAGGCCAATTTGGCTCTACCTTCCAAATGACTCCGAAATTGGACATCGCTCGAAATATCAAAATTCAAATTCAAATTCAAAATCATTTATTTCAACTTGGATGTCATCAAAAACACACTTGTTGAATGTCAAAATGTAAAAGAAAATGTTAACTCTACCAACATCAACCCACAGAATCCCTATACTCGCGGAAAGCTGCAGGGGTACTCCTTGAAATTGCGGCCCTTTGGCAAAAGGGTCCTTCTTCGTAGTGAGCGCGCCAATCTGTCTTCAATGGGTTGAACTGAACTGAATTTAGTTCACCCCACGTGGAGTTCCGCCCTAAAGAGTTCTCCACTTCAGACACAAGTTTTAAGCGCCTCTCATGTACAACGCTTCGAGAGAAGCTCTGATGGCCGAGATATCGTGCATCCCCCGTGCTATCATCCGCATAGCAATGTATGCCATCAATAGATAACATGTCATTTATATGCAGTAATAAAAGCGTGGGGGAGAATACCGAACCTTGTGGAACGCCAGCGTTTACGGTCATGGTATCGGAGTAGCAGCCGTCGACGACTATTGTGATACTCCATCCCTCCAAAAAGCTAGCGATCCACTTGCAGAGCCCTTCGGGGATCCCGTAAGCTGGAAGCTTCGATAGAAGTTGCCTTATGCCAGACCCTGTCGAAGACCTTCGCGATGTCAAGGCTCATAGCGAGACCCTCACCCTTGCCTTCCAAGCTTTCAGCGCATCTATATGTGTGAGGTATACAAGAAGATCGCCAGCTGAACGACCATGACGGAAACCGTACTGACCATCACTGATCAGCTGGCGATCTTCAAGATACTAAAGGAGCTGGATGTTTATGATTCGCTTCATCACCTTGGAAAGCTAGGAAGCTATCGCGATAGGTCTGCAATTCGAGGGGTCTGACCGGTCACCCTTTTTGGGGATAGGGTGGACATGAGCAGTCTTCCATGAAGACGGAATCCTGTTGGCATTAGAGGCGATATAGATGCGTTAGCGCGGGTTAACTACATAACCGATCCTGCGGACCAAATGGTAAACATTCGACGTCGCCCAAAACACGTCAAGGTACCCCAAGCACCGGTCATCGTTCTCGTCGAAACCGTTGCTTGCGACGAAGGAATCGGCGAGTAAATTAACCCACAGACACAGCCCACTGAGTTTCTCGCCGGATTCTGCGAAGCACGGCTCTTGCTAGGGTTCATGTCAGCAACGTCATCAGGTTTGAGCCCCGTGAGCTCACCTACTAATTCGGCGAATCTAGAATAACCCCTCGAGGTTACTAGAATAAGTAGGAAAAAAAAGTTACCGCGGGTGTTAATTCAGGGGTGCATGTTTTTAGAGCCGCTGCGGAAATGCAATTCAGCGCACTCATCCATATGGACATCGAAAAGCCGAAGCTCCTGCCTGACCGTACGCTGTGTGATGCGAATCTCAAGTAAGGAGCTCGGGATCCTCCAAAGAGTCCACTGAAAAGTCTCAGTAAATGACCAGCATTTTATTGAGATTATATTTTATCCCATATTATTCAATCTCATTTTATTTCCTGCTATGTTTCATATATAATCAACTTCATTTCATTTCTTAATATCATTTTTCATAAAAAATAGTTTTCATCTAATTCACCCGTCAAAATATCAGCTTTTTTCAAAAAGTTGGTATGTTTTCTGTTCGTTGAAATCTCTACTTTCCGATGGTGAAAAAAAGATATATGTTACTATAGTAAATCTTCTCAGAAAATGCAAAAAATCGAAAAAAAACTCGAATTCGAATATTTTGACCTGACCTAAAAGTCTTAGTTACCAGGTCATAACTTCCTTTAAAAAAAAGTAAATAATAAACAACATCTGTGTTTGACGTTTGTGAAATGTGATGGAATATTGGATTGGATGGAATGTTAGATTGCATTTTATAATAATATATGGAATATTAGATGTTGTATTGTATAGTAGTAAATCTGTAGAATGTAGGTGTTTAGTGGTTCTGGTTATTATATTGTATTGTATTTATTTATCATGCAATCAAAAACAAGATACGAGATTTATTTAGCAACAGCAGTTCTTGCTGTAGGGGCAGTAACATATTTATTTTGGAAACGGAAAAGCCGACTTCTAGACGCTGTTGATGCTTTTTCGTATATAAATATCAAAATTGTCACTAATGAAAGAAATTGCGACGAAGCGGTCAATGAATTACGAAGGTAAGGTAAAAAATTAAAAAAGCAGATCTTTGATTCAATACTCTTATTTAGTTGTTAAATGGGTTTTTTACGTTATTATATTTTGTAGTTTATTTATGTTAAGTTAAAATTTCACTTCTGTTGACGAGTTGTGGATGTATTAATACTGCCACCCCACAATAATAAACGTGAGATTAAACCGTAAAAAGATAGTTAGCCAAGGTTAATAATTTTAATTTATTTATGTTGGACGGTTAAATTTGAGGGGATTGGGTTCTGTAGGAGATGAGAGGCTATTTAAAAACACTGCTTCATGGTTAATATAATTATATTGCAAATACTTTGTACACTAATACAGTATTATAATATTTTATATTTATAAAACTCTTAGATGTTGTTCTGACCGTGTCTAGATGAGAAGTCATTGTCTTTCTGACAAGAAGACAATCATCTGTTTTAAACATTTAAATAATTCCAATATTTGAAATCTGTAACCTTACATGTGTCAAGTGTTGCCTGCCATTACTTTCATATTCAAACTCCAACAATATACTATACAGACTTATCTAAAGTTGTAAATACGAGTTTGATATTACATATAATAAGGTAACCACCTAAAATCGAATGGTCTGTGAGCTGTTTCAGGTACTAAGTGCTGAAAAAATAATTTAAACTCAAAGTAACAAAATCCTTTTTGTTTTAAAGGCGATGCTGTGACTACAATGCTTTAGGATTTGACTGTGAATGGGTGACAGATCACGGAAAAAGAAAGCCAGTTGCACTGGTTCAATTATCATCATCTGATGGCCTGTGTTGCTTGTTCAGGCTTAGTTCAATGGAAACTATACCTAATTCTTTAAAGGTAAGTTATTGTTGTTGCTGATAGTCAGTGATTGTGATTACTGTACATGAATAAATCTGGTGGCTACCTGAAGAAAATCCTATCTGGAGGCCATTTAATGTGGAACCTTTTGTTCTTGTCTGATCTATTCAGAAAAATTCTTCAATTAAAAAGACTCCATGTTGCATGATATTTTCTCATTTTAGCGATAGATACATACTAAGTGCTAAAAATAGTTCACCAAAATTGATTCAAATGGTTTAAATTTCCATCATATGTAAATTGCACAATATTACATATTAAAAGTGTGAGTCACAAAGTTCGAATCTTGTATTCCATTTCAATAATATAATTACAAAGACTGGGATGTCAGATTCCAATATTAGGTAATCAATAATATGTAGAAAAAAAAATATCAATGTGAAATTGTTAACGAAATGTGATAAATAAAAGTATCTGATGCGAGTCTTTTTCTCTATATGAGCAGTTTATGTGTATAATTTTAATAGATAATAAAACAGGGCCTAGATATTAGCATAAGCTAATACTGTAACACTAGGAAGCCTGTGGTCTAACCTCATCAAATTGACAGGATCTCTTAGAAGATGAAAAAATCTATAAAGTTGGAGTAGCAGCAAATGATGATGGAAAATATCTGTTCCAAGATTATTCAGTGAAGTTGAAGTCTACATTAGATGTAAGATATCTAGCAGAACTATGTGGACTAGAGCCAGGTGGTCTTGCAGTTTTATCCAAGAACCTACTGAGAATTGTCTTGGATAAGAGTTGGAGGGTGAGTTAATAAAGAAATATATTGTATAGCTATTGGCTGTAGAGTAAATCAAAGGTTAGGAAAATTATCATGTCTATTTCTATCCAACCATAATTTAAAGGTTATGCAGCCATTATTTCAAGGAAGTTAGATGTTCAGTTTTACAATAATATTAAAGCAGTATATGTGATATATTGGTTCTCGTTTACTATTACTTAAATTCGTGAACAAGGGTCACCTTGGCCCACCTGGTGAAAACTGATTACCAGTACTCATACAAAGCACAATGTGAAAGCCACTACAAAGTGTGAGTGAGGTCAGTCTCAATTATATTTCAGAAAACCGGAAAATATATTGCTTCACGGAAGAAATACGACAGGATGCCGTTACTACATACTTCCTAAGTACAAATGGGCTTCCATTAGCATTTCATGGTCCACAAATTCCACATTAGGGATGTGCCATCACTTAGGAAATATGAAGTTTTTAAGTTCGATTTTTAAAAATTGACATGAGATGCTGAAATAAAATTGAATGTTGAATTATGAACGGTGTACATATTTTCTTCGATTTATTCGAATAGACATAATTAAAACTACTTTGCGGTTTGAATTCGCGTTTATACTTGCATTATATTATTTCCGATGTTTGGAATACTTTAGAGTAGTTTAGAGTATTCTTGATGTCGGAAGATTAAGATGTTATTTCCGACATTAGAATGTTGCGCTAACTACCGTCTGTTTATCAAAATAAATATTTCTAGCTTACATACAATTTACATAATAATAATATAGAATGTACTTGTGATATTACAAATTACTTATCTACTACAGTATAGCCTCCTCCAACCTAAAATATGATGTAGATTATTGAAAAATTGCTATGCTACAATAGGTTTGGAGGTTTATCATGCTAATGAGGCTATCTGTTTTGTTGAGAATCTGTAGCAACTAAAAAAGTGTGCTGCACTTAATTTCCACTTACTAATTTTTAAAAACAGATTCGTTGTAGTAACTGGGAAGCTGATGAACTGACGGTCAATCAAAAACAATACGCTGCTGCTGATGCTCATGTAGCCATCAAGATATTTGAATATTTGCTGAAAGAATACCGTTTCAAATCTATGATGAAGGATCTATTAAGATTATCAAAGAAGCTAAGCGTAGATGACATCTGCCAAAAATATGCTGATATTGGATTCAAGCAGAAGAGCAGAAAAGTTGCAGGAGACATGTAAGTAAATAAAATATAAAAAACTTATCTAGGCAAGATATAAAATTTCGTCATTGTAATAGGTTTTAAAATCTGAAGACCCTGCAGTGATAAGTGATGCATCAGGAGATTTCAGCCTGACCACTATATTCCCATAACTCACAAGCAGTATTATAGTAGTTTTCTCCTAAAAATCTTTATTTATGCCAAATTTCAATCCTGTAGGAAAAATGAATAATTGATTTGACATTTTCACTAAAAGTTTTAACAGTCATAAGAATACCATTTTATAAAATTTGGTTGCCACCACACACACTGAACAGGCATGTTTCAGAGATGTTCATTTCAAGAGTGGCCCGTTCACCACTTTACCAGACTAAACTGGACATCCGGAACTCAGTAAAATCTCTTCAAACATTGTGTAAGTCTTGACTAAACCTTTCTTGAAAAGCCTTCACGATTATATCTTCTTGAATCTTAGATACCTTCCAAACGCATAGCAAAAAATGGTCACGAACCCAAAGTGTTAGGGCAGTATTTTGGCTTTTATTCTGTATTCGTAATATAGAGTGGAGTTAGTGACAGTGTGGGGTAGTTAGTGACATCTTCTCTTTTCAAGTGAACTTTTGGTGACTCACACACATGTAATTGTTTTGTTTGAAAGTGTAAGCATCAACAGAGCGAGCTGCGCCCTAATAAATTAAGTGTACTTGTGAGGTATCTATGAGTGTGCCGCCGCAGCTTTCCACGCCATTCGCTCGCAGATCTCTTCAGAGATCAGCCGTCTTTTACTGCGAAACTCAGGACACTTGCAGGCATATGCCTGTTGTGATTATAAAGATTTTTATTATGTATATAGTTTATGCCTCCTTCTGTTCTGTGTCTAGATTGTAACTTACTTTTGCTTTAAACTGTGCTTTGCTTTTTTTTTTCCTACCTAAGCTGTTAGCCTTGAGATGTTATTTTAGCGTAACCTTAACTAGTAGGTGAGCTCACGGGGCTCAAACCTGACGATCTGGCTAACACGAACCCTAGCAAGAGCGGTGCTTCGCAGAATCTACCACCGGATCGGAAACGCGATCCACTGAGAAGATCCGGCGAGAAACTCAGTGTGTGTGTGGGTTATTTTACTTGTCGAGCCCTTCATCGCAAGCGACGGGTTCGAAGATAACGATGACTGGGGCTTTGCTTGTGTGCTTCTGTACATCAAAACAATTACACATCTGAAAGTCACCACAGAGTGTTTTGGAATGTGCTAGTGTGTGTATTATTTTAGTTACACATTTGGAGTTGTCAGTTAGTTTTCATTATTATTGTTGTGTTGTCTTGCCGAGAAGTTTTTTAAACATAATCTAAAATCTTTTCTCGTCTTTAAAAGAAACCTTGCTTTCTTTATTTAAAAGTTCAGCCTGAAGCAGAAGAGACAATTCAGTACATATAATAAAGTTAAAAAGGACTTTCAAAAGCGACCAGATTCTAAAATATCGGTAATCCTCTCATTGAATTTACTCAGGTTATTAGTTGTTATTAATTAGGTTGTTCGCTTTGGGTTTTATGACAGGCTTTAGATGGCTCCACGTAGTCCCGGTTACTCATGCAAGATACCAAACAATTGGTTCTGTTGATGCAATATCTAAAGCATACCAAGTGCTTATGACGCTTATGACGAAAATGTTGACGCTGAAAAAAACTTTGAATATATTACATAAAATTAACATGTACACGGCATATAAAAGCTTCGTCAGAGTAAGCTCATATTGTTTGTAAGTAATTTTGAACGTTTTATCATTTACAGCCCTAAAGAGTCGAAGCTTAAAGATGTAAGAGTAAGCAAGAGGTATGTCCTCCGTTCTAAGCCATTGTATCAGAATTGTTTCCTACAAGCACCCGATGGAGACTTATTGTGTACATGCGACAACAAGAAAGCTTTGTGGTGAGTATATACCTTTTTGAAGAAGATTACACTCTTCTACTCATTTCATCTCTTTTATTCAGCACTCACTCCCTAAATCACTCGCTGACCCACACGCTGACCATATCATTAATTTAGTCATGCTTCAGATTCCTTTGCTACTAGAGATGGCGTCGATAAATTAATTTCATTCCTGAATCAAAAATGTGTGCCACTCGCATCCTGTTGAATTCATCAATACGGCAATATTTTTGAGAATGCTGTCCCTTTACGGAATTGTACTGGAACTGGATTCTGGTACTGCTGAAACTACTATAGTTTCAGCAGTACCAGAATCCAGTGTATGAGAGTGGTCTCTTCGCTTAAAAATAAAAAGATACAGAACCACATCCAAGATGACCTTAAGATACCGTCCACTTTTTACCATCCATGGAAATATTCGCTACTTGCTTTTGTACATGATTTCCTCTGTTCCTATCTTCAGTACTGTTGACAGAGACTTTACTGGTGGTAGGACCTCTTGTGAGGACGCGCGGGTGGGTACCACCACCCCGCCTAGTTCTGCCGTCAAGCACGAATGCGTTTCGGTTTGACGGGCAGCCGTTGTAACTATACTTGAGACCTTAGAACTTATATCTCAAGGTCCACCCATCTACGAATATAAAAAAAACGTGTGGCACTCGGGAACTGCCGCGGTAAAGCTATTGCATAGCATTTTTTATCAACTTATGCAATTATAATTAGACAATGATAATTTAATATTAAAACAATAATAAAACAAGACCACGCTATATTGAACATTAATAAAAGCAAAATCTTAACTGTCTCCTTCACACTCATAAGCTAGACCGCGCGAGAGAGAGATGGGCAGACTTTTCATGATGCGCATGCAGTGTGACGTCACGCCACGCGCTTATTCACAAACACTACACAAGCGCAACGTGTGAATGTGTTGAACGCGCGCTACATGGGAGGCGGAGTGAGGGGTGTAAGATTTTTTTCGTTACGGAATTTCATGATTCCGCTCTCAAGCCGCGCTCAAGGCCCGCGATAAAATCTATGCAATAGCTTAAAAATGTAGGATAGGCCAATTTTGTGCTGACGGCCTCATATGATCTCCGAGGTACGTGGACAAGGGTCTGGCGGAGGTGGTGGGGGGCGAGCCTCTGACGGTGCGGCTGCGGTTCGAGCCGGCGGGCCGCTCGGTGGGCGAGGTGGGCCGCTACTACGCGCAGCCCAAGGCGAACAGGTGCGTCGTCTGCGGCGCCACCAACTCCTACATACGGAAGAACGTCGTGCCCAGGGAGTACAGGAAGTATTTCCCGGGTAAGTTTTACTTCTATATGTTACCTGTTAAATAATTAAAACGTTTGGGCATGTTCAAGGAAGCACAGAGCGGTCGGTTTTTAGGATTACACTCTGAAAATATTCTAATATGGTTATGGGTGAAATTTTTGTTTTAACACATATTTTAGGCAAAATATCGAATAACGAAGCCTACCTACCATGTAGCTCGCGTTAAACACATTGCTTTTTTATTTCCCTTGTAGGCAGACGAGCATACGGCCCACCTGAAGGTGGTGGTTACCGTCGCCCATGGACTTCAGCAATGCCAGGGGTAGAGCCAAGCCGCTGCCTACAAATGCTAATGCTATGTAGTAGTATTACCGCGGCAGTCCCCGAGTGCCACACGTGTGTTTTTTTTATTGTGGTGTGTGACAACGACGTCAAAGCCTTCATGCATGTTGAAATTTACAAAATCCTTCATTAAAAATAAAATATAGGATAGGTAATATGGTAATGCCATCTACAGGAGCAATGAGAAACTAATCGAAGAGAAGCCACCTAGTGGCTGACGCCCGTAAACATTTTTGTGGAATGTTTGAGTTGCTTATCTACAACTAATTTATGTGTATTATCTATGGTATTGTTATGCGCTGGGGTTCGGGATAAATAAAATTTCACCAAAGTACAACTTAAAAACTGTATTCAACACTTAAAACAGTTAAACACTTCACAAACACTTTAAAACATTCAACAAACACTTTAAAACTCTTAATTCGCTTGTTTTGCTTCGCTTCAGGTGATCCGATCGCTGTTTCGCTTCGAGTAGTTCCGATTACTGACTGATTGCTTGCCATCGCTACAGCGCTTTTATAGCTGATACTTCATCCCTAGAATTATCGAGAATATTCCACACATCTCTAGTAGTAGTTTCCGCTATATGTCAATAGATGGCGTTGTAATTCTCGATCGTACTAGGTGTTTCTAGGTCCTTCGATATTCGTTCGACTATTCGGCGATAGATGGCGTTACTCTTACCGCCGTAACAGTATAATATCCGTTGAACAGAAATAATGAAGGAGCACTCGTCCCACGACGTGGTGCTGCTGTGTGCGGCGTGCCACCAGCGCAGCAACGCGCGCGACCAGGCCGTGCGGGCGCGCCTGGCCGAGCGCGCGCGGGCGCCGCTGCCCGCCGCCGACAACGCCAGGGAGACGCTCGACGTGCGCAAGAAGTATGTCGCTGCTCTCTATATATCAACGGGTGAAAGGCTATTGCTCTTCAAGCAGTAATGCGTTTCAGTTTGAAGGGTGGGGCAGCCGTTGTAACTATACTGAGACCTTTGAACTTATATCTCAAGGTGGGTGGCCCGTTTACGTTATAGATGTCGATGGGCTCCAGTAACCACTTAACTCCACGTGGGCTGTGAGCTCGTCCACCCACCTAAGCAATAAAAAAAAGCCGTAATAGCTTTGATTAGCTTATTACCCTGTTAAAGTTCTTTCTACTTCATTATGTTTCTAAGATCATATCGAGGGGTGAAAGGTTTTTTTTTATTGCCTGGATGGGTGGACGAGGTCACAGCTCACCTGGTGTTAAGTGGTTACTGGAGCCCATAGACATCTACGTCGTAAATGCGCCACCCACCTTGAGATATAAGTTCTAAGGTCTCAAGTATAGTTACAACGGCTGCCCCACCCTTTAAACCGAAAAGCATTACTGCTTCACGACAGAAATGGCCGGGGTGGTGGTACCTACCCGCGCGGACTCACAAGAGGTCCTACCACCAGTAAAGTTTCTATGTCTATGTCAACAGAAAAGTGAAGTCTGCTGCCAACGCGTTGCTTTACCAATCGCAGAAGCACGAGCTGCCAGAGGAGAGGCGGAAGGTGCTAGAACAGATCATCCTCGATTACTACCCTCAACATAAGGAGGTCTCCGAGGACGTACTGAAGGAAGCGGTCGAGCTGTGTGTCGTGTGAGTTACAGAAGAACACCCCCAATATTTACGGCTGTTATGTTGATCTTAAGCCTTCGTCAAACAGAACGCGTAATTAGCGCGCGTCGGAGCGCTAAACTGACGCCGCGCTATGACGCCGAGATGTGTTGTACTACTGTGGTAACATACCGTCAAACAGAGCCCCAGCGCTATAATTACGCAGCGCTCTGTCGCGGCGTTAGGACGCTTTGACGTCAGGCGTTGTAATTTTTTACAATTTTTATTTTAGCGTCCGAGTGAATGTGTATTAAAATACTAGATAATTCCCGAAAAAATGTTATAAATAGTTAGAAAATACCCATGCTTATACAATGCCACATCTGAATCACTCGATTTCTTAATACTTTTAAATTTTCACACTGCTATCGAAAGGCATTATGATTTGGCGAATGCGTTGCGTCAAGGAGCGTTAGACTCATCTAGTCAATTTGAAGAGTGCGACGTTAAGTACGCGGCGCTAATTACGCGTTCTGTTTGACGAAGGCTTAATTCAAATCGAAACACATACAAACAGAAAGTGCAATGACCTTTTGCTGATAGTTTCAAAATTTGAACTTCAAATATCAAGCTGTTGTGGTCTTCAAAAGATATGGGCATGTTAACTGCACCCTGACCCCTTCGATCTCCATTCACCTAAATACAAGCCTGCAAGTTACGTTTAAATAGAAATCGGATATATAAGTTAAAAATCAATTGTGATTTTATTTAATTAGTTCTTAATGATTTAAATACCAACCCACGTGAGCCCTAGCCCAAATAATACTATGAAACAATATGTATAATGACAATAAAGAAACGCGATGTGAAACCGTAAACTTTTAAGCTATTGCATATCTTTTATCGCGGGCTTTGAGCGCGGTGACCGGATCAAGTAATTCCGTAACGAAAATAAAACCTAACACCCCCACTCGACCTACTATGTAGCTCGCGTTCGACACATTTACACGTTGCGCTTGTTGGCCCAAGAGCCCGCGACAGCCAGACCTTCGTTATTTTATAAAAGCTGAAAGTTTCTCTGTGTATGTCTCCAACACAGGTAAGAACGACCCGCGATTATAGAGTTCCGATTGTGGTTACTTGGGCAGGTAACAGGCAGTAAAGGTATATAAAATAGTACCTTAAATTCGTTAAAGTATAAAGGTTTTTTTTTTTAATATTTAGTCCAGAATATCTTTAGAAATCATGATATCCGTTGCCGGACACTTTTTCCAGTTGTTACCCCCTGCCAGACACCCTTAAACTTTAATAAATTTTAATTATACTTTCGTTATACTATAAAAGCTAAATTTTATATATGTTACTTAGGGACTTATAAAAATATGTTACCCCAAGAGCCGGACAGTTTTAATGGNCTGTCCGGCTCTTGGGGTAACATATTTTTATAAGTCCCTAAGTAACATATATAAAATTTAGCTTTTATAGTATAACGAAAGTATAATTAAAATTTATTAAAGTTTAAGGGTGTCTGGCAGGGGGTAACAACTGGAAAAAGTGTCCGGCAACGGATATCGTGATTTCTAAAGATATTCTGGAGTAAATATTAAAAAAAAAGACCTTTATACTTTAACGAATTTAAGGTACTATTTTATATACCTTTACTGCCTGTTACCTGCCCAAGTAACCACAATCGGAACTCTATAATCGCGGGTCGTTCTTACCTGTGTTGGAGACATACACAGAGAAACTTTCAGCTTTTATAAAATAACGAAGGTCTGGCTGTCGCGGGCTCTTGCTCTATGTGTAGTGGTTGTGAATAAGCGCGCGGCGTGACGTCGCACTGCATGCGCATCATGAAAAGTCTGCCGGTCTCTCGCGCGGTCTAGCTTGTGAGTGTGAAGGGTACAGTTAATGTTTTGCTTTTGTTGATGTTTATAAATATAGCGTATCTTATTTTATTATTGTGTTAATATAAAAAAAATATTGTCTAATTATAATTGCATAAGTTGATAAAAAATGCTTTGCAATAGCTTTATCGCAGCAGTCCCCGAGTGCCAAACGTGTTTTTTTTAATTATGTTTATAACCTGAAACCTAAAAAAATATTACTCTGATTCTCGTTATTGATCTCAAACCAAACACCTAACCAAACGCTTCATACCAAACTATAGAAAAATAAACTTGTAGTTCTAAAAAATGTCATTCAGTTTTTAAGGTAGCTTTTCCTCATTCAGCTTTTATCATAAGAGCGATTTTCTTTGCCTTCTAGTTTTGCTAGAAAAATAAAAAGTAGCAATGAATTCTTATTTGTGTATTCAACACTAATTTACTGTCATATTGTATGTCTGTTATGTTTGTTCTGATAAAATCATGACAAAAAGATATTCATACAGAAATCGTTTTATTCTAGCCAAGAAAATGTCGATTATGAATCTCACGGAATGAAGGTTGTTGAATATTTCTCTAAACGCGACGGCGGTCTGCTCGCTCTGGAGCAGATGTGGCGGGAACATTTCATAAATGTCATGAAGCCTAATTATTTGCCTGATCTGTGGTCCGTCAAACACAACGAAGAGAGGTATAACACTCCCTAACTATTTTTTTTTATTGCCCTTGTAGGCAGACGAGCATACGGCCCACCTGATGATGAGTGATTACCGTCGCCCATGGACTTCAGCAATGCCAGGGGCAGAGCCAAGCCGCTGCCTACCGCTTAATATTCTCCACAAGCCTCGTTTGAATAAGGACATGTCATAGCGCTCGGGAAACACCGTGGAGGGGAGCTCATTACAAAGCCGGATGGTACGTGGCAAAAAAAACCTCTGGAAACGCACTGTGGGTGACCGCAGTGGCTCCAGGTAGTATGGATGAACTCTACTCCGGTGGCGGGCGGTGCGATGGTAAAAACGAGATGCCGGTATCATCTCGAACAATTCCTCAGAGCACTCCCTATGTATTACAGTTTCAAACAGAACAACTTCATATTGTACCGTTTTTATTTATTTATAGTATTTATTTAATAATTGAAGAGTTTTATAATTCGGCACTGGCAACAATGACATTACAAGAAGCCAATTGCCATATTGAAAAATTTAAAAAGAAGTATGACATTTGTGTTTTAATTTTACAAACGAAAAGGCGAAGGCAGTTGACAGTTTCTGTGTTTCCAGAGATTATTGTCTCCGCAGAATGTTTTTACTGAACGGTATATGTCCTTGCAGTGGTAAGGGATTCGCTGTGTATTATTTTGGCAATATCAACGCTTTTATGTGATGGACAGTTTAAAAACGCAATGTAAGATGATAAATTGCCATAAGCTGCCTAAGGTTCCACAAAGTTTTTATTACATTGTGTCGATATGATGTAAAGACAGAACAATTAGATTAATCTATGCGATGCCTAAGATTTTATTTATTTCTTATAAAATGAGGCAGGTGATGATTGTTATTTTGCATTTACGCCTTCAGTTGAACATTAAAAATATAATAGTTTTAAATCACTGTGACAAAATATCATATATATATATTTGGTTTTAGGTTGTGGATAAAATGGAGTGAGGGAAGATTATCAGAAAATGATCTCAAAGTTATTGGCGCCAGGTGGTCTTGAATATAAATGGGAAGAGATTCTAAGTACACTTTCTTCTCCAGTATGGTAATAGGCTTTAAATGCCATTGTTGCCAGTGTCGAATTTTTTAAAATAAATTATTTTTTAAGCAAATTGCAACTGTATGAGATAAAATTGTTTATTTGAAATAGTATTTGGTATTGGTATGAAATTAAATGAAATGGAAATGAAAAATGACCAAATAAAATGGTGGGAATTTAGTAATCATAAAAACTTCTGTGGGGATTTAGAGAACCCGAGAAGTCACCTCCGGCGACTATGTTTTATTTTCCTATACTTGTATTATTTCAAAGATACTAAATGGTCAATAAGCTATCATTACGTATAACTTCGTTCCTCGAATATAAATAATATTACATTTTGTTTATTTTTTTGTAAAATGTCAAACTTTGTGTCATTTGTATGTATGTAATAAAAGTATTTGTAAGTTGTTCTCATTTTTGTTTTCTCCTAAATATTGCCCTCGTAGGCATTGTTGTTTCTATAATTGGTGGAAAGGGAAGTTGCAAAAAAATCTTCTAGCTTTGGGTTAAAAAAAATTTTTTTTTTATTGCTTAATTGGGTGGACGAGCTCACAGCCCACCTGATGTTAAGTGGTTACTGGAGCCCATAGACATCTACAACTTAAATGCGCCACCCACCTTGAGATATAAGTTGTAAGGTCTCAGTATAGTTACAACGGCTGCCCCACCCTTCAAACCGAAACGCATTACTGCTTCACGGCAGAAATAGGCAGGGCGGTGGTACCTACCCGCGCGGACTCACAACAGGTCCTACCACCAATAAATAGAAAGGGCAAAAAAACTATACAATTTATTTTCTTAATGTAAAATTTTGAAAGTAAAATAGTTTTGTTGCCTTTGTCGTTACGTCTCATAATGACTAATGCAAATATTTTTACCGAACGGGTGAAATTGCTCGGTAGACCGACTGTCCGCATGTTATTGTTCGGAACTTTTATTTACAAAGTTGTCTTGAAAGTGTCGTTACCGAGATTCAAGTATTTTTCAAATATCCTGTGTTTCATCATAGCTATCGAAAAGTCACTACGCCCCGGATGTCTTGTGTTCTGTGATACTACCCGCTACATTTACCTGACTCCTCTCTGACACCGAGTTGCCATGTTGGATCACAAATACTTACGATCACATATCTCCGGCTTGACAACTCTGCATTACACGGCAGTGCGCCGCCACAACAATATTGTTGATGAATTGATTTCGGTGAAATTCAGCATGCTAGTTGATAGAAGAATAATCTTTTGAAATAGTAAAGTATTGTCTGTACAGGCGAAGCTGCGGTCAGAAGCTAAACATAAATAGATAAAGAAATTCAGTTATCTAAAATGTAATACATAATTGTGTTGAAATATTGGTCTCTAATTATCGTCGATTTCAACCCGACCTACTGACCATATTCAATATAAGATGGTGATTTACTCAGATTGGGTCTTGTTAAAATGTTTCTTGCAGGAAATAGTACCACGTGAGCCGTGAGCTTGTTCATAAATGTATAAAAATATGAATTATTTCTTTTTCCTTCATTTAATTGTGTTCCATTTTAGTTTTCGTATGTCACAACCATGGGTTTGGTTTCCAAACCAAATGTAGTAGTAGTAGTAGTAGTAGTAGCTGTATGAGCTTTTTCTTTGCCTGTCGAAATGATAAACTAATGACAAATGTCACATTGTTGACAAGATTATTTCATTTTGAATTTAAATTTCTGGAGTCGGTTAAAGACTTAAAGAACTTTTAATAGCTAGCAAATTATATGTATATTATTAAATTAATAATAATACCTATATAGTGTTGTTTGTTATAACCACTGACGATTTACACGTGACATTCTCATAATGGAAATAATTTTATAGATTCACTAAAACAATAGATTGTTGTTGTCCATACAACAAAGCTTGATAATCATTGTATTTAAAATAAGAATAATGAAGCAAACGAAAATTACAAAGCTGTTTCAAACAAAACGTAAGTTGAAACCCTTGAATGCTTTTTAATCTTCTATTTCTATTAAATACAAGAAATACTTAAGTATCTATATAAACGCTCAAACTATATTAATTAAAATCTTAGAATTAAACTTTTGCTTGAAGTAGTAACTTAGATCTGAATTAAAAGTTTTCTACAGTTGTAGCAAGGCGTAGTTCAGATGATTGTGATGAACTTCAAGATGAGATCGAAAAACTTAGGGAGAACCTTAAAGAAAAACAAAACGAACTGTTTCAGCTACAAAGAAATAGTTATAAGCATAAGTCTTCCCCAGTAAAGAAGAAATCTGAACAATTTGTACGTCCACAGGTATGATTTAAAAAAAATCGATTAATTCTAAGCTATGCATATCCAATTTAAACCTTTCAAAATTAACATTTTACCCAGAACTTTGAAGATTTAAATTAGTATTTAATTATTATTTGTTTATTCCATTCCATTATATAAACCATATCTCCTTGAAATAATTTCATACACCACATTGTATTAAATGATATTAGGGCCTAAAATTATATGGTTGAAATTTCAGTTTTATTTTAGTGGTCTACCTGGAGCAACCCACAAGGCTTTATAGTAAATATAGATTTAGGATATAATGCAATCACAAAGTGCAGACTCACAAAATCCCCCAAACCATTAAATTATACTAGACATTTAAATCTCTATAAAGCTTTCAGAACCCTAATGTTGTCCCACTATGATTAACTTTGAATACATTTCTGAATTACAGAAAATAGTATTAACAAACTCTATAGACAGCCTAAAGAGGAATTTAGAACTGATGTCAATTTTAACTGGAATGGAGGTTCAGTCATATGTTGTAGGCGAACACTGCTGTGTGGTGTATCACATGCAACATGATTCTGATAATGTGGTTAAACATGGACTCAGGATTGAAATGCAAGCAGGTAATAAATACATTTTCATATTATTAATTGTTGACCAAAATGTTATATCGCCTTTCAAGAAAAAGACATTGTTCATCTGATGATGAATGGTTGTTTATTATTCATGAATGCAAATCCAGCACTGGGGGCACAGCCAGATGTTTACCAGATGCTATGAAACTGATGATATCAACTTGTGAGCACATTGGATGTTGCAGAGCTATAAAAACTTAAATATTAAATTAATTCCATGAAAACCATCACCATTAATAGATCATCTCCAATAATTCTTGATAATATTTTTTTGACGTAACAACGTCTTATAATTCGATGGAGCTGGCTGCACGCACGAAAAAACATGACTCATTGAGGCGTTCCATTTACGCAACGAGCGACAAAGAGGCACAATCGACCTCCGCGTTCGGCAGCGTTCGACATCCACAACGTAAATGCCGCCACCCGCCTTGAGATATGAGTTCTAAGGTTTCAGTATAGTTATAACAGCTGCCCCACCCTTTAAACTGAAACACATTACTGCTTCACGGCAGAAATAGACAGCGTGGTGATACTTACCCGTGCGGACTCACAAGAGGTCCTACCACCAGTAGCAGTAAATAACAAGGCTTAGAAAAGATTTGAATCAAAGAAGAAAAAACCTAAATGCTAATTCTTATATCTTTCTGTAGGAGCAAACGTAGTTTCCAAGTCGTCTTTGCCTCTGGGTTTCAATATTAATGCAGTGATGGAAGAATATGATAATATCATGATGCCAGAATGTCTTGGTGCTATACGTAAGGCTCTGGTTGCTTATTATGATAGATTACAACAGTTTGAAGCACTAAAAGTAAGTGTGCTAACATATTTTTACACTTGTTGTAGATTTAGTTGTACAAGACTATCACTACCCACTTTGAGACATGAGTATTAATTATATAGTATAATGCTCCTTTTTCAAACCATTACTGTTTTCCCGCAGAAATAGGCTGGGTTAAAATCCTTATTTGATGCCTGATGTTTACATTTCAATTATTCCAAGATGCACAATTTTTTTAAGTACCTAACATGTGTCAGCGTCCTGCCTATTTATGTTGCACAGATATGCCCATTTGTAGTAAAGGAGAGCTATTTTGAGAATTCAATATCACATCCCCAAGATGTGTGTCCAGACCTTGTGATAATGTGGTGCATTTATTATTAACATAAAAACTGAATCCAATATATTTTTTAACATTCAAGAAATGGCTACTATAAACAATGTTTGATAAGTAGAGGAGATTGTCCATATCTATTTGTAGACTTAATATTCTCGTGGTTACAGAAAATGCTGAACGTAGAAGCTCAACTCTTTAAACTTCTGGACGCTTCCCACATTGAGATATCCTTCTCTGCTCAAAGCGCCGTGGAAGAAGATGAACACTTGAATCTGGTGCTCGTGTTAGACTATCGAGTTTATGATATAAGACCCAAACAGTATTCTTTTAAGGATTTAGGTATGTGTGTAGTTTAATGATAATTTTGTGGTCATTATTTATTTTTAGTTTTTGTTATTTTCAGTTTCTATGACGAGGTAGTCATGCTTTGAATATATTTTTTATTGCTTAGATAGGTGGACAGTCTCACGACCTATCTGATGTTAAGCAGTTACTGGAGCCCATAGACATCTACAACCTAAACGCCACCACCGAGATATGAGTACCAAGGGTACCAAGTTTTTAGAACATAACAGCTGCACTACTCTTCAAACCGAAATGCATCACTGCTTCACGACAGAAATAGGTAGGCTGCTGGTACCTATCGGTGCCGACTCACAAGGGGTCCCACCACTGGTAAGTAACTACGCCAATTATAATTTTGCAGGACATCACACAAAACTAGCCTGTTAATTCTGAATTTCTTTTTATTCAACCTGTTAGAAATTTGGCATATCTTCATTTAATATAAAGTGACTAAAGTTTGAAGAAATCAAGCGCGTTTGAAATAACAATACATTCCGGCTAGCATCATATTAAAACTTCCATAAGAGCAGTTTTTTTTTATTTACATCATGATATTAGATTTTCTATTAAAACTAGACTTTATGGCCTAATTCTCTTTTTGTTATGATCAATATACGACATATTATTTCCGGCGCTTTGATTACGTTTACGGAGGGTTGTCCGTGTGCTTAACAATACTTTTATTTACATTGACCATACAGGTTGAACAACTTTTGTTAGACAATTATTCAGATAACAGTCAAAATTTTTCCATGCTCTATTTATTATTCATAATTCAAAATTCAAAATGAAATTAAATGAACTTGTGCATAATACTGTAAACCAAATTACACAATTGAGATATGTTCACACAATTTTATGGTAAAGAGTTGTATAAACTGAATTTCCAATTTATTAGTCAAGTTCAGTATTGTTATCTCATAAAATTCATCCGATTATTCCAGACATCCCTGCAGGAGCCGTAGCGGCTTTAAAAGAACAATGTACGGTATTTAAAAGAAAACCATTACAGAGGGCATTCAGAGATGCGTTTATAGATGGTGTCGGGCCCTACCAGATGATTCACCAGGTGAGCAAACGGAAACATGATTTTCATTTAAACATAATTGCTGAATGTCAAAGTTGTGATATGTTTACCACCAGCTCAAGAAAACCTGCTATTTCTGGGGGTTATGTCACGTCAGTCGCTTGGTCAAAAAAGTATTTTGTATTTTTAATTTACATAGCATCACCGTCCCCGTGGCTGTCGCGGTTCCGTGAGCCTTTCCCATCTTGGCTGATAAATTATTTTTTTCCCAGATTGGCTTCAAGCCTGTGGAACGTAAATCTCACAGGCGCAAGCGTTTCAAAGCCCATCCATACAACCATAATAATGATGACACCTTCCGACCCGAGGACTGCTCCGACCAGAGCGAAGAGGGACCAGAGCCCTGATGCTGATAGAACGTTTACTTCTCAAATGCATTGCAGCCACAAAACTTTGACTATAGAAACAGTTCCCTTTGAGAAGTTTGAAGAAATCGGACTTACAACACGCTTTAGTTAGCTCATTGGAACTGTTCTGTAAGATTGTTAACACACTTTTATTAACTTGGTAGATTTCATGGAATGTTTCAACGTAATTTCCATCAACTTAAAGAACTGAGAGCCTGAGACTAAGATTCATTGTTGCTTATCCTATACTAATTAAAACTAGAATGATAGTGTGTTAAGAATTTATTTATTTTAGTGCAAATAAATATTAATCTTATAAATTTCGCCTTTTTCATATAACCCGTTGAAATAAAATACGCATATTTCATTAATAAACTTTATTTTAATTAATAAAATAATAATAAAAAACATTTTACATCATTAGCATACAGATTGAGAATTGTCTAAAATCGCATACCATTCAATAATTTGTGCGTAGTTTCGTATCTAAAGTTACATATATAAAAGACAAATTTGTCATTTCAATGTGAAATCCTACACTTAAGTTCCGTCGGCACGAAAAGAAATTCCAAAAGTTCAATGTACAACATACTTTGCATGTATACATTCCGGCCGACAAACGTGCAGTGGCCAAATTACTAATTATTCACCACCAAACTGCAGTCTTCCATTTTTTGTTTGTCCTGCCTGTGATTTTTTCTAAGCTAATGTATCTTTTTTTTATTTACATAACATACCTTCAAGTGCCCTAACGGCAACATGTTTGGTTACATTTCGAAAACGATTTTCGAATGCAGTGAGATTTAAATTCAGTTATCAAAATTATACACCAAAAATATTCAGTAAAAGTAACATTCCTATAAGTAGAACAGTTGTGATAAAATCAGCTCTAATTAGTTAAAATAACAAATTGACTAAAATAGTATTTTCATTCTCAATAAGTTAAGTATTTTAAACATAACTGTGTATTTCTTAGCCAACACGAACAGAATTTCAATACTTTCAATTTGATTTTACTCATTAAGGGACAACGTTTTCTGCTGCCATATCGTTAACTTCACTAAAATAGGGACAAAAATTACATACAACTTTTGAAAAACTAAAATTACATTACATTTCTCCTCTACATTTAACATTGAAAAGACATCTTGATAATTTCATAATTGAGTCGTCTATTATCAAAGCCGGCAATCTGACTTTTGGACAATGATTGGTAAATCAGAAAAACGAATTATTGACTTTGTATTCCATTGGCAGTCACAAAACTCTTCCGAACGACATCTTAGATAAATAACAGGTTAACTATTAACCTTCATTTAATGCAGGTTTTGAACCGTATTCTTTGAAGGAGACGATTATATTCAAATCAATCTGAATTGAAATATCAATAAAAAAAATTTGTCCAAATTCACAGATTGCCACCTTTGATAATAGACGACTCAATTGTAACATTATAATTTCCTAAATATTTTTCCTGTATCAAGAATGTTATAAGCCCGTATGTGAACATCAAAACACAAACTCGCTTCACTTTTACATTATAAAAATAACACATTTGGTGTATTAAAATAAAACTAGCATTTTGAGACAAGTTGCCAACGTTAGAGAGAACTAAAAATGAATATCATTATTTTTTATTTTAATACGCCAAATGTCCTCTAATATGAACTGAAGATTGCCTTTTTTAAATTATCTTTCCATCTTTATTAATGACTTTGTAAACAAACTTGAGTGAACTGTTTCTATCAGTTCACTATGTGTATTGTGTAGTTATTTCTAGACCAATTTAATATAAATGACTTATTCTAAATATCCTTCACAATAGTCACATACAGATAATGTCACAACAGATCACAGACAATGAGGACAATTTGAGCCTGAATTGAAAATTAAATTATTTCAAATATAAAAAAATGCATTCAAAAATAGTTGCAAAAATTGTAATTCAATTATTTAGAAAAAGCATTCTTCAGTCTTGTAAAAGTTTAAAATTATACTCCCCTGTTCGGCAAAGGTTTGACTTTGTAAATGCGGACCAGCCAATGTTCTGTCGTGTAGGCTTCCTCTAGAACATCTAGATTGAAGTCCTTGTTGCCGATCTCAGCTCCTCGAACCCGATCGAACCCTGGCGGCCGGCCTGTGTTCCATAAAAATGGGCTTGATGACAATAATTGACATAAAAGCATAATAAACTATATTTCTGCTATCGAATCTTGCGCGACATGGACCGACAAAGATAAAATTAGAGACAACAGAATCAGTTTTAAAATATTTCTTTTATGACAACAATATTTGAAGAGAAATAAATAATTCTAATCTTTAGTTTTGATCTTGATATTTACAAATACAAATTTGTGCTGTGAAGCAGTAATGCGTTTCAGTTATATGGGTGGGGCAGCCGTTGTAACTATACTGAGACCTTAGAACTTATGGTCTATGGTCGCTGGTAACTACTTAACACCAGGTGAGAGCTCGTCCACCGATTTATGCAATAAATAAAAATTAGACTTTATAACGCGCACATCCCTATTTTTTCTACTCGTGGGTCTTGGAGGGGCATGCATGCGGTCGAAGCGGTAGAGACGCCGCCGGCAAAAAACCACAAAGCTTCGAGAAACTGTTAGTCGATATGGCACCAACGAACTATACCTTACATCGATATCATTAAAATTATACACCTTAAACTGGGATAGTATTAATAATTCGTTATAACATAAATTAATAATACTTTAAATCAGTGAATCAGAACCTTTTTTTTGTTGCGGCACATATTTAACGATTTCAAAATTTGGCGGCACACAAAGAAAAAGATAAAAATTATTTACTTACTACCGAATCAAATACATTTGCCAATTTTAACGAAAGAAAAGGTGCAGTTACTACTATGCAACACCTTGTGAATCCCAACTATCACTAAAACAACACGTTTTGTACGCAGAAGTGGCAAGTGCGCCGACTTCAGACATATTCCTATTGCTATGCACGCCGCTTCATCATAATTTGGCACTAAGAAAAACCGCGTTGCAAAGCAAATAATAAAATAATTTATTTTTTTGTGGATTTCAATATATATTCATGTTAAAAATATTTTTCTTTTTAATACTTCAACAAATAGTACTGTTTTTTATTATTATTATTATTATTATTATTATTGTATTCCATTTTCGAGCCGATGAATTGCCAATGCTATGTACGCCATTGTTGTCACATGCATCAGGCCATAAATTAAGTTGTTTAAATTTATTTTCAATGTTAGATGTTTGTGATGTGGCAGTGCTTATTTAAATAAATAAATAAATAGATACAATTTAATAATATTAACATTATTATATATTTGCAAAATTTGGCGGCACACTTTTAAAATTTGGCGGCACACAAAAGTGCCGCGGCACAGTGGTTGTGAATCACTGTTTTAAATCGAACTGTATTGTTAGTGGTAGTGGTATTAGTGTAGAAGAGGTTCCGTACCGCCCTCGGTGTAGACGAGTCCGAACTTGTAGTAGCTCATCTTGTACATGAGGCAGTTGAGCAGCGCGGGCGCGCCGGCCGAGTCCACGCGGAACTCCCCGGCCGCCGTGTAGTACTGCGCCTCGCGGATGTGCGCGCCGCGCTCCGTGCTGCCCCCGATGCGCACCATCCACAGGAACTTGTTGATGTCTGCACACACACCACACACTACATACTCTCCGCTACTCTCGTATGAAGATTTTTTTTTGCTTAGATGGGTGAACGAGCTCACAGCCCACCTGGTGTTAAGTGGTTACTGGAGCCCATAGACATCTACAACGTAAATGCGCCACCCATCTTGAGATATACGTTCTAAGATCTCGGTATAGTTACATGTGTCATAGCGCTCAAGAAACACCAGTCAGTCAGTCTTTACTGGTGGTAGGACGTCTTGTGAGTCCGCACGGGTAGGTACCACCGCCCGGCCTATATCTGTTGTTAAACAGTAATGCGTTTCGGTTTGAAGGGTGCTGCAGCCGTTGTAACTATACCGAGACCTTAGAACTCATATCTCAATATGAGTGGCGCCATCTACGCTGTGGATGTCTTTGGGCTTGGATAATCAGTTAACACCAGGTGCGCTGTGAGCTCGTCCAACCATCTATGCAAAAATAATAAATTCTTCTCCGATCAAAATTTGTCAACACTATCAACCTTCGATTCCAAAATCTTTATGACCTGGCTACAAACGGCCTACCGTCCGAAGAGTATCCGACCAGTCCTCCGAAGATGACGAGCACGTAGTCCACGTCCAGCTCCCTCATGATCTCGTAGGCCTTGTCCTCGGTGGAGGCCATCGCCTGCCCCACGCGCGATATGTGCGTGTTGTTCCACGTGTTGTTGTCGACGATCACCGTCCGGTTCGCCATCGCCGTTATTTGGTAGCCGTAGTCCCACCACGACATCACTTTGGCGTCCTGTGATTTATACGGAATAATTAAAATATCGATAACTTGATTAAAGGTTCCAACATTTTATCAGAATAGTGTTGTCACCACCACACCATGAACGAACATGCGTATATTGGTATGAATGGTAATGGTAATTATTTAAGGGGCTTTTTAATAAATAAAATACTCCTGCGTATTACCTTACCGTTCATGAAGGCCTTTTAGGTAATACACTTTCATCTGTTAATCGTCACCTGCGTCAATTAGCTAGCCGCGATCAGCTGCGCATGAGTACTTTGTCGAGCTACCCGCGACATTCTGTCCAAGCGCGCGTGACCGCGGCGCAAACGAACGGGCGGCCAGCCAATTGTAGTGTGTGTATGTCTATTTTATATATAATGTAGAAATAATATATTAATAGATAGGTTATATGTATAAATGCATATTTTGTGTATTAATAATTATATTAAATAAATATATTATAGAAGTACATATTATATTGTGATGAGCACCTAAATGTATGTGTGTGTGTGTGTGTGTGTGTGTGTGTGTGTGTGTGTGTGTGTGCGTGTGTGTGTGTGTGTGTGTGTGGAATAAGCCCACAACATCGTGAATGGATTTCGAAGTCTCAATCGTACTGTATATTAATTTTTCAATTCGCGTCACAATTAGGATGGCAACACTTATCCGTGCGCGTTCATAATTCGTGCTACCACCGGTAAGTACTTGAATTTTTAAAATTTGACGGATTCGAAGAGTAGTAGAGTACCTCGGGAGTGTTCATCTTGAGCCAGGTGTAGGCCTCGCGGAAGTCGTCGAAGATGATGCGGGCGCCGTCGTGTGCGCGCGCCGACAGCACGATGGAGGGCGACGAGTAGGCCTCCGACGTGACCCACGTGCAGTGCACCACGTACGACACCAGCAGGCAGCCCAGCACGCACACGAACAACGTGCCCACCTGCAACGTTCATAGACAAACTTCCGTTTTTTTAATACGCTTTTATTAGCATTATTGTAGACAGCGGCTTAGCTCTGCCCCTGGCATTGCTGAAGTTTTGGGGGTTGGTGCTTCCCGCTTCCGTAGGTTTAACCCGCGATTCCCTACAAGTGACCCCTGGGTGGTGCTAAACGGGAGCCGAAAACATAACCGGTGGTAGGACCTAGTCCGACTGGCTGGCGACCACCCTCCAACTAGAGTCCGCCGCCAAATAGCCTAGCTGTGTTCCGGCGTGTGGGTTGGAGAGCCAGTTCTATCCCTTCCNGTTCGAGATGATACCAACATCTCGTTTTTACCATCGCACCGCCCGCCACCGGAGTAGAGTTCATCCATACTACCTGGAGCCACTGCGGTCATCCACAGTGCGTTTCCAGAGATCTTTTTTGCCACGTACCATCCGGCTATGGAATGAGCTCCCCTCCTCGGTGTTTCCCGAGCGCTATGACATGTCCTTCTTCAAACGAAGCTTGTGGAGAGTATTAAGCGGTAGGCAGCGGCTTGGCTCTGCCCCTGGCATTGCTGAAGTCCATGGGCGACGGTAACCACTCACCATCAGGTGGGCCGTATGCCCGTCTGCCTACAAAGGCAATAAAAAAAAAAAAAAAAAAGTCCATGGGCGACGGTAACCACACACCATCAGGTGGGCCGTATGCTCGTCTGCCTACACGGGCAATAATAAAAAAAAAAGTTCAGCCGTATGTATGTAACGGAATGTTTGAACATGATTTTGACCCCCTTCAAAACGTCGAATTAACTCGAAATTTTGTATACTTATTAAGGACCGATGACAATTCAATATTAAAAAAAGAAAATTTGAAAAAATTTAAGTTCAACTAAAAAATGAAATTAATAGTTTAACAAAACTAACATACTACGCTTTTAAACTTTTTTTTAATTGCCCTGAGTCAAACTTGTGGGGCATGCTTTGAATTTACCTAAAATTTATGAAAGGATAACATAATAATATGTTTAGTAAGTATCATAGTCAGCAAGGTCAACAATATTTTTATAATTAAATGACATTAACGTTTATATTGAAACATGCAAGTTTCAAAAAACTTGAAAAAAAAAAAGAACAGTGTTAATGACTACATAACATATAAACAAGGAAAACATATCCCAAGCTAATGGTATTGTTTGATACTTGCATACATAAATTCAAGATTTAATGAACATCACTGTGAGTTTTTTTTTCTGTACAGTGAGTAATACTGCCCCAAAATGTCTTTTATACATTTAGTAGTTTTATGCAAACTTGTATCTACCATTTAAAACATTCTCAAATGTAGTTGACGAAGATTATTGTAGTCGTTGAGATTAGTTGATGAAAAAAGTTGTTACCTCAGATCTAAACACAAGATTATTTTCATGCTTCTTCTTCTTATCGTGTTTCTCAACTTTAGGCTCAATATCCTTAACGTGTAGACTAAGTAGACTGGAAGCTGCTATACCGGAGACGATGCACATGACCGGAGCGAGTACCAGCATAAGACGAACCATGACGCCCTAGGAATAATAAAGTATGGTGAGTTCAAGTTATATTGGCAAAATTAGTGTTGTTTGCGTGAGGGTAGTCAGCGATCAAAGTGTTTAGTCACGGCGCGGAGTCGACGGAGCGTGCTCTACGTGTCTCTACGCGCTCCAGATCTCTTTCTCATCACGATTATTCCTAGAGTACTTATTTTACTGGCTAATTGTTAACGTTAGTTTTTACATATTCTCAGACATCAATTACAAACGTTTTTCATCAGATCCCTTTTTTTTTTAAACTGTATCATGGGTGTCTCACCGCATCATTCAATTTGACTAGGGCAGCCTTCCCAAAGTGGGCGATAACGCCCCCTTGTGGGCACTGCAGGCCTAAAGGGGGCCGTAAGAGACCCAGAAAAAAAATGGGGGCGTTGTGTAGAAGCTTGGGAAGCGATTTGTAATTTCATCTGGGAAGACTTAGGCACCGACTGAGCTCTCGCTATAGTGGTTTTTAAGCAGGTGAAAAGATGGGGGCGCTAAAAAATAACTTGTTCACAAAGTGGGCAGTAGACAAAATAAGTTTGGGAACCCCTGGACTAGGAGATGGGGAAAGGAAATTGAAACTAACTTCAGGTCACGAAGTTAATAGATGTCCCCTAACACAGATGCAGGAACTTCACGAATAAAATGTATTATTTATTTTAATAAATTTATTCAATGATGTCGAATTTAAGTAAGTATATGAATCATATTTCTTTGAATGAAAATGTTGCCAGAATTGAAATAAAAAGTATTACCAACACTCAAAAACATCAACTCACAGCAAAGTATATACTGAGCACGCCATACAGAATGATGAATATGTTTGCATCCGTGAGCTTGCTAAAGCAAAAGTACAGTCCAGCCGGGAACAGGAACACCAGGACTTGGAGGTCGAAGTAGAATGATGACCACGACGTGGGCTGATGCTCGGACACGGATGCTGAAGACATAAATTTTCATTGCAATTGGAAACATGAGTGAATGAAGGGATTAAGTACCATTTTTAAGATTATTGAGTTTTTACTTTGAATGGAGGTGTTATGTGCCTGTAAACCACATTACGCTTTAAAATCCCAGGTTTAAAGGCTATTTTTAGAAATTACATGTGACAAAGGAGTTATATAGAAAGAAAAAGTATAAGTAGGTAACAAAAGTTTGTTGCCCGTTTTCTCAAAATTAACAATTTGTATCATATCCCCTTCACTCATGTTTTCAATTATGACGTCATGCTTAAATGTGGTTCATATCAAGCTTCCACGCATGTAGACCATTTATCTGTAACTTAACGATTTGTTTCATTTGCATAGATAAGTTAACGACGTCACAAAGCATTTGACGTTACGTGGTTAGCAGTTCCCATAGACGTCTAGAGAGTACCACATACCGACGGGTAAAAGGGTTTTTTTTTTATTGCTTAGATGGGTAGACGAGCTCACAGCCCACCTGGTGTTAAGTGGTTACTGGAGCCCATAAACATCCACAGCGTAAATGCGCCACCCATCTTGAGATATAAGTTCGTAGGTCTCAATTATAGTTACAACGGCTGCCCCACCCTTCAAACCGAAACGCATTACTGCTTCACGGCAGAAATAGGCGGGGTGGTGGTACCTACCCGCGCGGACTCACAAGAGGTCCTACCTACAAGAGGTGTAATTAAGGTCCGTTTTATTTGGCATTAATAATAATGCAATATTATGCATAATGCATAAGAACAATATGAGATTTTTAATTGAAATTCAATTAGGTTTCACCCATTCAAATAGCAGAAGAAGTTTTTTGATATTATATTTTTTTAACTTCAAATGGCTCTCCTGTAAAGTTGCCAAAATGTTACTTAAACCAAATAACCTTTCACCCCTCTACACGTAAGGGTCGTCTCGGTAATACATATATACTTTCAAATATATTATATTAACTAGTTAATATATAGATTAAGCACTATCTTAATAACGAGTGCATTTATGTCACCAAACCATACTCACCAATTATAGGAATGTGGTTCTTAGCGTACGATGGATCGAGCAATGAGTAGAAACGGCCAGTCCACGGTGAGATTTTTCCTGCAGGTATAAATTAAGTGATATTTTAACTGAGGAAAAATTTAAGTAAGCATCATATTTTAAAGTCATTTGATGATGAAACTGTTTGCCCGTCACTTACCGGTCAAAGTGAGGGCTATGATAGCAGAGCCCAGGGTGAGAAGCAGCGTTGTAACAAGGGCCTTGAAGAGCAGCTCGAAGTTAGCCGGCGACAGATGTTGTCTGAGGTACTGCGTGAACGCGTACAGCTGACACAGTCCGAATGTACCAAGGGCCTGGTGGAAAATCATGTTAAGTAACCGGAGTCTTCGATTACTATAGTATGTACCAGTACATACGAAAGGTATATATTTATAAAGGAGCCCGCTCGGATAGGGACCTCCAACCTGTCTATTACTAGCCTGCAGCAGTAATGCGTTTCAATTGGAGTAATGAGGGCAGACGTTGTACTACAAAATTAACACTTACAACTCATGTCTCAAGGTAGGCGTCTATTACGTTATTGATGTTTAAGAGATTCGATAACTTAACAATATGAGATCCGTGAGTTCGTCCATCCACGTCCATCCAGTAATAAAAAAACGGGTGCGTGTACTTATGTACGCGCGTAAGAAGTTTACTTTCTTTTTATTAATTTTTTTTTTAATTTTTTTATTTAAATTTTAATCAATTTGAAAAAAAATCGATTAAATAACATCCTCAAACACGCATATTGGACATCCCTTTTCTTGACATCGTATAAATTCGGTAATTCTCGGTACGGTTCGGAAAGTTCACCTGCGGCTATATTCAGACTCGCCAAGTTACGTCGGTCGTATTGTAATGAGCGATTTAGTGGGCAACTTCATTCTGTTAATTTTGTGTCGCGGTGCGCGCGCATCGTAAAATTTCACTCTCATCAATTTTTCATAACGCGCCTAAACAAGTATAACTTCAAAAATGTTGGTCTTCATGATAATACCGAGTTACAATAACAACATATCATCAAATGAGCTATAATTGTATCTGCCTTTGTGTGTAATTGAAAAACTAATATGTAATATTTCATTCGATATACTTTTTAACATGCCATATACCAGATGGTTAATATATGAATATGTTTGATATTTATGGTTTTTATCTAACTCTTTTATCATAGACTTTAGTGTTATTTTGCAAATAATTTAAATTACAATACTATGGTCTACAAGAGAAACAATAATACAATTGCTGGTCAAATTAAATAACAACTTCAGCTTTGAATATAATATTCTTACCAACATATGCTCCGAACTCTGCACAGGTTGGAAGCCCACAAAGGAAATCTGCATTGAGAGGATGGTTCCGATGCAGTACAGCGTGCTGTAAGCCACGTACACCCTCGACGAGAACCTTCCCAGCAGAATGAGGGCCAGTACGTGCAACGGTATCAGGTTTATAAGGAAAACGTAGCCACCCCATGATGACACCTATGGTTCAAAATAAGAAATACTTTTACTACTTTATAGTAGACAATTATCAGTCTTCATATCATAAGTTCACTTTACGTTTAGTGTGGCCAAACTTGAAAAACAAGGTAGCAGTCTTAAGTTGTCAAGCAGAAACAATTTTTTTTTTCAATGACAATATTTGTCATAAAGTCCCATAAACTAAATAGGTTCTAGATATAATTATAGCAAACAAATCATGATTATTCGTCAACCATTTTCAACACTAATCAATGATCGAGACCTTAAAACCATTTCCTTGTCTGGCATAAGCTAATGAAAGTTATATACTTGCAGTAAGGATGTTGTAAATTATTATTTTTATCAATAAAAGCACTAAAATAATAGTAAGAAAACATCAATTTAAAAAATGTATGAAAGTGCAAAAACCAGAAAGCCACTCTATGTTTGCCAGCTGGCGTGAAACTTTCATCTGATTGTTCTATGATTGACTGGATTGGTTATAAAATTTTTACGATTACAACCAAAATTTTTATAATTTTCAATCACAAAAACCAATCTATACATATTTTCCATATTTTCTTGTTTTTGTTTGTAGCATTAATGGGTGTTACTATGATGGTTACAACTGCGTTACTTAAGTTTTTTTTTATGCTAACATAACTTTTATGTATTAGGCCATAGAAGTGTAACATACAATTTTATATCAAGCAATACACTGAAATCTCAAGTTGTCTAAAATTAATATTTGAGATGAGGTCCTCAGGTAGCCAATCAGCAAAACTGAGTAGCCTATATATAAATAGATTAAACAAATTAAAGTGGTTTACATTACATTACATTCTTAAGACTTTCTACAGATCATCTGACTTTATGTTGGTCGACATGCAAAACTTTATTTCAGTTTATAAAAACATTGTTAATGTTATTTAAGTAGTTAATATATAACATTAACAATATTCTTCTTATGTCAGTGATTTTCCTTATAGAGATATTCTTAAATTTGATCCAGTTACTAAATAAAGAAACACCAGACATAGCCAAACATAATTCAAATAAACAATATAAGAGATTTGTATGAAAGCGCGAAAACCGACCAGCTTCTTGTACTAGTGGCTTCAAACTTTCACATGTTTAATGTATGATTGACTGTATTGATTATGGTATTTTTTGACCAACATCAAATTTTAACTGTGTCAATCAAAACTAAATCAACATGTAAACAAAGTATGTATATTAAGAAATTATTTAATTTTTATATCTCAATGCTGCTGGTAACAGGTTACGGCAGAGGTAGAAGCCCAATGTGCTGATCGGACCAGATACGCTCTACTCTCAACACTTCAGTCCAAGTTGCTATCCACACAGCCGAGGTTAGGCAGGAATGGCGCAAGATAATCCAGGGGAAAGTTGTTAAAGGAGACCACGATCCTCAGCATTAAAGGTTATCGACGCAAGGAGGAGGATATCTCAATTTAAGCTAAGTTTAATGTTAAGTAGCATGATAAAAAAATAATAACTTTCTTTCTATGCACACTGTACTGAATTGAGTCACCTTGCATTTATAGGTTTGGTTTACCCATATGTTAAAGGAAAATACTCTTAAAAAGACTGTCTGAGAAATCTATTTCACGTAATTTACAGAGCCACCAGCCTAGTGTTTTCATCTTATGTAATTCGTGTGAATTTTCGAAATTAAAGTACCGAAGAAAAGATAGATACTAGTCTTATAGTAGTAAATGAGTGCAGTAGAATGGCATCGAGCAGGGAGAGATGGCGCGACATCGTGAGACGCATCAAGTCTGCCCCTTCCAACACTACATGGCGATCACGACCATTCTGTCAAGAGTGACACGACTGAGAAGAAGACGAAGAAGTCTTATAGTATGTTAATGTTTTCAAAACCAATTTTGTTTGGACATTTTTCCTTGCATTCTAATTATAACAATACAAGACTGTAAAGTACCTCCATTATAAAATGAGCTAGAATCACAGATGTGCATGGCACCTTTTGAGAAGCACATAAGAAAAGATGATACCTCCAGGTGTCTCGAACATGTTGAATTTTATATAGAACCACATACAGGCTATCATAAGTGTACATGGGACAGGCAATGCAAGTTACTCAAAAATTTTCCTATAAATTTTTGGTCTTCAAAACTGATTATGTAAAAAATACATTTTTATTTGATCTCTCGACAATTTATTTATCTCATTTCATACCCAACTTAAAACTGCAGGATTAAGATTCAGTAAAATTATAACCGAAGTAAAATCTTACTTTAATATTTACTTGTTAATTGTTACTTTTTATTTACTTGTTAATTTATGTGAATGAATGAATAACTGGAAGTAGTTTGTTACCTAATTAGATCAATACTCACCATGTAGAAATATGCCAGAGCGGTCATAGTTGCCCACATGATAGTTCCTGTATTAACAGCTTTGATCCAAAAATAATAAGTCAGCAGCATGCAGAAGATGGCGATGCCTTCATTATCGTAGCTTCCTGCGACTGAACGACTGATGTAACCAGGGACGATTGCAATCATTGCTGCTGCCACTAACCCCGCTCCTTCATTCTGTTTATGAATAAGTAATTTTTATTATTTATTATTACAGGAATTAATAATTTATATACACAGTTGTAATATATACAGAGTATATATAAGAATTTGCAGTATGCTAATATTCAATAATCAGTAAACCATAAGAATAATTATTAATTAAGAAAATAAAAAAATCTAATCACATTTATTCCTTTAAAGTAATCATAGATTCTCTATAAACATTCACATTTTCTAAATTCCTCAATATTGTTTTTTTTATTATTATTGATTTCGTTCATTAAATTTTTTTGGCAATTAAATTAGTGGAGTGCTATGTCAGGCATACAATACGTATGTAATGTGGGTGACACTATAATTATTTGAGTTAAATACTGTCAAACACACATTAAACAAATTTAAAATTGTTCGATTGGATTTAGCAGAAGTTTGTACGTGAATTTAATTTAATAGGATGTTCATCAAAGGTTTCTTTACCTACTTCTATTTTTTTTCTTCACTACAAGAAACTCGACAGTTCTATACATATTTGCATTTTAAAATTCAGTCTTTATACTTTCATTTGTTTTAAGTAATTTGGAATATATCGCATCTTAATAAGCATGTGCAAATTCTATAGGTTTAAAATATATTAATTAAATAATAAATTGTAATTTTCAAACAAGATACTATAGTAAATTAAAAAATAATTTGATAGGTTATCTGTATTAATGATAATTACCTTTAACTCCTTGGTAAGGAGGTATGTGACAATAGTTGTGAGTGAGGAGAAGAATGGAGCCAAGAACACACATACATTTCTGATGTCAATTGTTATGTTTAAGTACTGCATTATATTGTAAAGAGTGGCAGAAGTCACCATCAGGCCAGGGTAGATGGTACCTGGATATGAAAAATGTTTATCTCTAGAATTGACCATATTAAACATTAGCTGACCCGGTAAACATTGTTTTGCCATATAAATTAATTCTAGGAAAATAACCTAGATACTGACTGCAGCGCCCTCTCTCGGGCTGATTTGTGAGACCGATTGAAAACAAATATTCTTTCATTGTTTAACCACATCCACAATGTGCAAATTAAAAATAAAAGGTCAGAAATTAACTGATAGTCTTTATAAAAAAAAAGGCTTACCTCCAATAATACGACCTAGAGGATACCATGCTCTATCGTCAAACCAGTTGTGGAAGTTATAAAATCCCTCTTCAGTGAGATATCTCGTCGTTCTATAGTTGAAGTAGGGATCAAACTCATGGATTACGCTCTCAAAACGCAGAACGGAGAATAAACGCGTCGCAAAAGCTAAAATAAATCATAATTATGGTATTTTATCGTAAAGGGGAAATTTAATAAATTCAGTTAAAAAACATGTTTTTTATCAACGATGTTTTGTGTTGTCGATACAGTTTTCATGCTAGTTACTGAGTATAATTCGTCCTAGCGATTGGGCCACGTATTATACCGATTCGTGTATGAATCTTCCTTGATATCAATTCATGAATGTTGTTAGTGTTGTTTTTTACTTTATTCTTAGTTAATTTATTGTTACTTACATAAAATTGCTGCCATTGACAAAACAGAGAGTTTTATAAATGTTAGTTGTTTGTCCGAAGACAAATACGGTAATCTGGACTTGCTCTGTGTTTCCGCCGTCATTTTGATTTTTTATGATGGGTACTTTATTTTAATTTCACATAGATTTGCGATTTAGTATTGCTTAATCAAAGTAAGAAGCACCGGCAACCTTCGCTAAACTTTTCTTCAGTCGGCGACAATTCTGACAGTTCACAACAGCGTGGCATAGGGCATAGACTTTTCCCTTGATATTTTTTTGAGGGATTTTATGACCTGGTAACTAAGACTCTTAAGCCATATCTTATTTTATTAATTTATATTTCTATTTTTATGAAAAATGATAATATAGAGTGAAATGAAATGAAGATGATTAATTTGAGACACTAATCAACTGCGATGAAATGAGATGAGATGATATGGGATGAAATAATATAATCTCAGTAAAACGGTGGTCATTTACTGAGATTTTTTCAGTGCACTTTTTGGAGGATCCAATTGGATTTGGAGGAGGAGGATGTTTCATTTTCTCACATTTGTGCACTTTCACAAATATTAAACAGTTAATAAACCACCGTTATTACACATTTAAACCTGAAGAAACACTAAATAGAGAAAATAAAACAAATTCCACAATTGCACTCCTCGCGTTCCCGCTAAAAAGTCCCATAAAATACTGGTGTTTTATTCCTGCAGATATGTATCAAGTTTTTTAATAAATTACTCAACAACGAAATACTTCCACGAAAAGGTATAACATTATGACACTCTGTTCAATTCATCAATCGGTCAATTCATTCTGTTCGAAGATAGCACCGCAAAAATCATAAAATGCGTCATATAGAATTAATAATAATGTAACAACCACCCAATAAAATTGTTGGAATTGATTGAGAGCTTTGTTATTATTTTACTATTTATAATAAAGAAAAGAAAGCGTTCGGTGGTTGGTTTTGATTTGACAATAGATATCGCCGGACTTACGCATGTGCCTAGCTTGGCTTGCATGCTTGTCTATTTGCTTCTCTCATAAACTATTCCAACTGAGACTTGGACGGTTAAATATGAGGGGAATGGGTTCTGGAGGTGAGGGGCTATTTAAAAACACTGCTTCATGGTTAATATAATTACATTGCAAATACTTTGTACACTATTACACCATTATAATATTTTATCTATATATTAATACGTGAAGCAAAAACTTATAATCATAATAGTGTACAAACTTACAATTCCAATTAATTATAGTTGAATTTCGACTACTGCGGGACCTCTAGTTTTTATAAAACCCTAAGATGTTGCACTGTCCGTGTTTTAAACATTTAAATAAGCATTCCAATATTCGAAGACTGTAACCTTACATTTGACCCCAACTGTTGAAGCGGATTCCAGCAAATCAACTGTTGGGGTGAAACTATGACCTAGATCTAGAAAAACCTGATTTTCTGTAAATCTAATTGGAATTTTGTAGAATTCCAATTAGATTTATCAAGAAGATAGATTTCTTTATGTAATATCTAATACTACACCTAACAGTTCTAATAAAAATAATACGGGGTACTCAAATTTAACTTTCATTTTCCGATTAAAAAAAAAAAACGCTTGCTGGATGTAATATTATATATTTATTAAGCAAACTAACCTACGTGATAAAATAAAAGGCAAACCGCCACATGTTCCAGTACATTCTTTTTATACTGCACGTGTTTACACAAAAACGACCCTCGTCAAATGTCTCTCGAGTGGCTCTCGTAACTCATTTGTTTTTATTATGTTCTTGGCGTCAGGGCCAAAGAATGTTTTGTTTACAATAATTTGAGCTTATCGCCAAGCTATTTTAAGCAATGACACTTAGTTTTATTTTACAGATTTTGAATATGAACGACTCAAATATGACACTCAAAATTAGTACAAAAAACAGTGTCTCATAAAAACTAAGATTTTGCAGAATATATGCTTGCAAGTGCTATAATAATTAATTATTCAAGATTTACATGAAACTGGGCATTGATTCCAATGACAACCAATTCCAACAAAAATAAATCCTAAATATAGTGAAAAAATAACAACGAATGGTCAATAAGTATGGATTTCTTCATGGACTTATTCAAAATAAAAATAATCCTTATTATTTGGCTTTTTTTTCGAACCTATTTGATTGATAGGTCAAATAAACATGTTTTTTAGTGATTTGGTGATGAAAAAAAAATTTTAACAACTAGGTAACTTACAATTAATCGTACCTAGATACCATACAGTTAAAAGATCGCACTTATATTAAATTGTGAAATACAATAACCCAACACCCACAATGATCCAATTGATACTTAATTTATGTGCCAACTTTAATAATTAATTGTGAATTCCATTGTTGACACGACGCTGGCCATAACTCGGCAAATAACAAAAAAAAGTACAACACATGCAGCATTTTTTAGTACTGTGCAACAATATGAATGGTAACAATAACAAACCACCAACTTTTTACGGTAACCACTTACCACCAGGTATGCTCGTCGCAACTTTTATGGTAACCACTCACCATCAGGTATGCTCGTCTGGCTACAAGGGCAATAGAAATATCTTTAACACTAGTGCCTATATACCCTGTATGTGTGCATGCGCGTGTGTGTATAAAAAGTGTCAATGAGCGGTAAAGTGTCAGTGTGTGGCGTGGTGTGTCCCGTAGCAGGAGTAGGTGCACATTGGCTGGTTACAGGCTCTACAATATGAATTAGTCCGCTTGGAGCAGACGATACATGTTCGCCTAAGGGGGTCAGATTTTCCGCCCTTGATCATGTCATACTGTGCCGGGCGATGCACTTGTTTTGGTGTGAGTTGTGTGCTAGGTGGAGGATGCTTTCTATGTCTAGTCAATAATTGAGTGATCAACACCGTCCGGAATTTACGGTGTGAAAACGAATGATCTTGGTGTAGTATGTGTGAGTTCAAGACACTAGCGTTTAAGAGCCTTCTAAACAACTTCTTGTACCAAGCTCTTGTCGTTCTTCTTTCTATGGGGTACATCGCGAGCTGCTGGTCCTTGCGGTCTACTTCGCCTATATAAACATTATAATCGCAAGCGACAGTCGACTTCAGTCTTTCCTAAAACCTAACAGATGCGAGACCATGGTATGTGGAAATAAAAGCCACCCGGTTTTTATCTTTCCACACCAAAAGATCCACATCTCCCGAGGTGCATCACTTGACCGACTGTCATATCCTTTTTTGTAAGAGACGTCAATTCGTACAGCACAAATTGTCGGTTAGTCCACAGTGTGCCCACACAGTCAAAGCCGCGGGTCTAAAGTTCTCGGGCTAGCGCTGGAGAGTTATAAAAATTATCCATCCATATTGTGTGCCCTTTATGCTCAAGACCACTTAAAAGTCTGAGCACGAGAGCTGGTACTGTGCCAGATATTGAATCGTCCTGTGAAGCCGAGATGTCATGGCCTGCGTGAACTTCAAACTGCCACAGGTAACCACTCTGCGATTCACACACTTCATAAGTTTTGATCCACATTGTCACTGTCTTGTTAGGAATGAACTGGCTCATATCAAGCCAGCCCTTCTACATCGTCAAACTCTCATCCACTGCTAAATTCTGACTCAAATTGTACAGCTCCGCAAATTTTGTATTTAAATGTTCTACTATTGGCTGTATTTTATAGAGCTCGGCCTGGCGTCGTGTCAACATTGTAATGTCACAATATTCGTTGTTATTAAAGTGCAGGCATTTGGACAACAGCTGGAAACGGTCATATGACATCTCCGCGGAGAGGCCCAGAGTATAAAAATGTCCCTCGCGGTATGCCAATAGTCCTCTAAACGGCTTTTGATGACCACCCCCATAGCCAGAACGATGGCAAAATACGTATAAAGTTCGTTTACATTCGTATCTTGCCATCCGAGTAATCCGGTTATGAGGGCCGATCGTCCCACTCGCCAATATGACCGTTGCCAGCTGCTGTACATAAATGTTGGTTTCCTTGACTATCACTTCCATAATTTCACGACCCCATATGGCAATAAATGCTTCGTACGGAGTCGCGAAATAAACCGATGGACCACTAATTTCGGAGAAAGGTTCTCGCCTTAAATGAGGTTCTATTTGAGGCATCGATATATTTCTCCATTCGAACTTAAATTTATCCTTAGGTTCTAATGTTGACGTCAGTGAGGCGTCCATTGGGGCAGACGTGGATGGACGAAGAGGTTGAGGCCACTCCAAATTAATACTAAGCCTCTACGCTTCTGGTACAACTTCCTCATCCTCTTCGTCCAGCCACATCCTGGTCGACCGGGGAACCAACGGCGGCTGCAGAATATCTTCGTCCTCTCCCTCAGAGTCCTCTTCGCTGCCTGAAAGGAAAAAAGTTATTAGTTATGGTTTCGATTTTAATAGGTATTTTACTTTCGCGAGTATTGATAAAAAGTTTGATGTCATAATGTACTTACCATAATTCAGCAGAGCCATAATTTCGTTTTCGCGAGGAGGAGGAAGAGGTCGAGAGGACGAAGGGATACTACAAAATAGAAAGAATATTTAAAAACATATATAAAAAAAAAACGTATAAAAATATGTTTATTTGCATGTGTAAAAAATGTATACTTACACAGGCCGCTCGGTGGCTGGGGTGCTGGTCCCGCTAGTGCCGGGCCGCTCCATGACCGGGGTGCTGGCCCCGCTAGTGCTGGGCCGCTCCATGACCGGGGTGCTGGCCCGGCTACTCCCAGGCCCACATTTTAAGTATCTACAAAAAAAATGTTTTAAGAAATGAGTACAAAATAAAATAAAAAAATCAACTAAGGCACCTCATCTCAAAATTCAAGTTTTTCTTTGATTTCGAACTAACCAATAATTATTGAATAAAAATTTAATAAATTTAATGGCTCAAAAATTTAGTTTCTGTAGTATATTTTTCATTATTTATTTATAAAATAGGTTATCCTCCTCCTCCTCCTTCAGTCGATCGCTCATTGCTGAGCATCGTGATGCGCCCGCCTGTGACCTTTTTTTGTAATTTTTAGCCACTTATGTCGGTCAGTGGCACAGTGAAGTGCGTGGCTCAGTCTCATGTCCAGACACTCAGACACTTGGTCACTCCATCTTTTCCAGCTACGATCTCTGGATCGTCTTCCATCCACTTTACCCGTCACTATGAGTCTCTCCAGGTTGTCAGAGGGTTTTCTTGCTATATGACCAAAG